ACTAGGGTAAGTGCACCAGTTATGTCCTAGTACTTCAGTTTTAGCCCCTAGGGCCTAAATCAAATTTTTAATATTTGTTTATGGTTTTATTTCCTTTGACATATGGCCAAATATATGTTCAAAATATGAATGAAAAATTGTGCAATTCAAGATAGTGCCAATTAGCTGGAGTCGAAAATTAGCACACTTACCATAGTATATTGCAGGTTATACACCAATGATCAAGATCTACCCACCGTCATTACTCGTCTGTTTTCTAATCATTCGATCTGATTTTTTGTATGTGATTAACCCTAGATTAATCACTTACGGGAAAAAAGATCGATTGGTTAGAAAACAGCCAAATTATTACAATGGGTACAACTTATTACTAAAGATTTTGTACGTAATAAACTGTAGGGACAATTTTATTGTGGCATTAACCACCAACTGAACAAATATGGTTGCAAATATAATATACAAATTTAAGCTATCGAAATGGAATCATCCAAACATGGGAAAACTCAATATCACAGCTATAAAATATCCAAACTCGTATGCTATCAGATTATTGAAGGCGTCTGTAGGCTCAGCTGTCAACTTTGCTCGAGTCTATGTTACACGAAGGAATTAGAACTAATGTGAAAACGTACCAAAGCAGGACGGCTCACACAAATCACCACTAGTTTCTGATATCGTAGGCATGTGAGCAAGTATTATAAAGCCCCGTTACGTGGGTGGATCACTTTTTCGTGGTACGTTACGGGATGTAAGACCACTACCACCGATTCCTAGTCCTGACTACTTCAAACTAGGGGAACGGGATTTTTCAGTAATCAAAGGAACACATCTTAGTCCTTGTTACTTTTTATGCCTTGTTAATAGTTATAAGTCCTCGGGTTGCTTGGGCCGAGGATGATCTTGAAACAAGGAAAAAATTAGTTAGTTAGTCTTCATCTATGTGATTCCTAATCTTCTATTCCTTGTTATATAGTTTGAAGTGGTTAAGACTAGGGTTCTGATGCATGGTCATTATCGTATACTTCATCATTTCTTAATAGTGATGGAGTAATACGACATGCACTAAACTAAGGACACGGGATATACTACAATAGATCAAATAACTGGTCGCAAAGGTGTTAGGTCCAGAACAGAGGAAAAAAAGTATTATACACATCATTAGGCCGAAAGCCATTAGGTCGAATGGGTTACTAGGCTGCATTTAGAAAAGTGAAACATTGAACTTCTTTGGAACTATTTTCAACACCCTAGAACTTTTTAAAAAATGTTGATTATGAATCTTAAAAAATATATCAAAATCGAAAAAAATCGTAAGAAAACGAGAAAAGTTTATGAATTTGTATCTCTATAAAAAATTCAACATTTGGATGTAGATCAGAAATTAAACCAAGATAAAAAAATTAGGATCCCAAACTTTGTTCTAATTTTAAGAAACTCGATTTGGAAAACATTTCAAGTTTCTGGGTCTTAGCTAAATTTGAAGATCTCGACGTAGACAATTTTTTACTAAGACTTCTAAGAATTCTAGATCTCGCATTTTCAGCATAGGAATTTTTAGCATATGATTTACCGCATGGCAAGAATTAAAAAAAAAGTATCACAAACCAATCATCGATTTTCATAAAATAAACAACCTATCTTAATTTTTTATCTGAAAACAACTCTAGTTAAAGATGTTCTCTGCTTTGAAACTTGAGCGGTTCTTTCGAAGCATAGCGATGATTTTTAATATCTTGCGTGAAGTGTGTATCAACATGAATTCACCTTATTTTTATTGCTGCTCCTTTTATTCATAAACCGGAACAATACAGACACCGTATGATGAAAAAAAAAAACTATTGAAATTACTGCCTAATGGCATTCGACCTAGTGGCGTTGGGTCGTGGCATTCGGCCTAACGACCCTTCTTGTTCTTCACGTTTCAAGCTTATTGCATATCGCATATTAGCTTATTGCGTGCTCTCAACTTAGTGTTCTAGATGCACTTCTACAGTTATTAATTGAGACTTTTCGATGCTCGTACCATTTTTGCATTGGTATAATTGTGTGGCAAGTCCAATCATACCTCTATGCCCAGGGAAGTCGAGAAATTTTCCAACCCGAAAAATTCCTAGACCGAACCGGGAATTGAACCCAGCTACCTCCAGCATGGTCTTGCTTTGTAGCCGCGGATTGGTTCTTTGGGAATAAATTGGGCTATTTTAGTTCGATACCTTCAAAACAACCTTTGCAACATGGCAACATGACATGGAACAAAAAATTAAATAAAAATAAAAACCACCACTGTATCCAGATAGACAACTGTTTTGAAGACACGATTAATGATTAACTTGCTGATTCACAGTTTTCCTAGACACTACAGGGTAGGCCCAAATAACTGACGCACTTTTTTGCTTCAGTGTAAAGTTCTTCTGGATTATGCGAGAGCTATCTGGTGGCTAACACATGAAAGAGTGACTGATTAAAATGTAAACAAACTACTGTGCGCTATATTACATTAACAGGAAGTGCCTCAGTTAGAGATGGATTTCAAAAGAAAAAGGATTTTGCAGTTGCATTTGGAGGGTAATCGTCCTTACCAGATATTGGCTGAGACCCGGAAGGAAGGAATATGTCGCACATTAATTGACCGGACGTTGAGAAGATGGAGGACGGAGGGGACCATCGTTCCGAAGAAAAAACCTGGTCGTCCACGCAGCGTACGCACTAAACAACTTGTGAAGGTAGTACGAGAACGAATTCGACGAAATCCTTGTCGCTCGTCATATAAACTCGCTCAGGATCTGGCGGTTTCCAGGAAAGTTATCAGATCAGTTCTCAAAGACGATTTGGGATTGGTGCCGTACAAGAAAAGAAGAATTCATGGACTTTCAGAAGCTAACAAGAAGAACCGAATTATTCGCTGTCGTGAACTGCTTCGCCAGCACGGTGATTCCTTGATCGTGTTTTCGGACGAAAAAAACTTCGTATTGCAGCAAAGTTTCAACGCTCAAAACGACAGGGTCTATGCAGCGACGATTCAGGATATCCCGTCTTCAATTCGCGGAGTTCAACGATTCCAAAATCATACTTCTGTCATGGTGTGGGGAGCGATTTCTGCAGAAGGTCGTCTACCACTGCTTTTTATTGACAAAGGAGTGAAAATCAACGCGGCTTACTATGTAAGAGAGGTTCTGGAATACCATTTGAAGAAGCATGCTTCAACGATGTTCGGTAACCGCAAATGGGTGTTCCAGCAGGATTCTGCCCCGTCCCATGGAGCAAAGATTACCCAAGCATGGTGCACCGCAAATTTGCCAGATTTCATTCCTAAGGAGTTATGGCCAGCTTCTTCGCCAGATGCAAACCCTCTGGATTTCTCTATATGGGGAATCATGGAAGCACATTTTCGGGATCTTAAGCCAATGGGTATAGAAAAATTCAAAGCTACTATACAGAAGATATGGGATGAAATTCCCGAAAATCAGGTGCGTGCCGCTTGTAATGCCTTTCCGAAGCGACTAAGGGCAATAGTTAAAGCAAAAGGCGATAGAATCGAAAAGTAAACATGTACATTTTAACTATAAAATGTAATAAAGAGAATAGAACAGAACCATTAAAACCATTTGTCTTTCCTTGGGAGATCCGATCCTTAATTCATGCGTCACTTATTTGGGCCTACCCTGTAGTTGCTTAGATTACTGCAACTGCCACGCTAAAATATTTTTGGCAAACTGGAATTTTTGTTAATTTGCTACATCAGTGAAATACTCCAAGCATGGCAAATACAGCTTTGATGAATGTTTGGTCATCATTTACGCATCATTCCGATAAAACATAGCTAGATTTGTTATATTATTATGCAACATTATTTTCATGTCCTGCATTGCCTCTATTTTCGAAACTAAAATTTCAGTGGTTCAGTCCTGATTTGCATATGCCGACGAGATTATGAGTTTCCATTTGTTCCTTAGATTCTTAGAATCTCAGTTACCTTTTTGGAGATTTGAATGTTCAATAGTAGAATATTATCCTATATTTTTCCGGGAAAATTGTATTTTCGGAAATGTTTAGTTATCCAACAAAAGAAGAGCACTTGAAAGAAATTTCATTTTCACGCATAATAAAATTAGAATATCAATAAGAACAACAATAAAACACACCAACAAGGAAAGCCAGAATTGCATGAAAGAAAGTGAAAAACACGATTCGATGAAAATCAATGTGTATCAAACACTGTGCATGAAGCGAAACCCAAAATCCCAATTCCAGCAACAGCGAGAAATGCATAAAACACCGTAAAAATCACAAGGAATAGAATCCTTTTAAATGAATTGTTCATTGTGAGGGGTAGTTCTTTATCCACAAAAGTAGATTTCACCATTGACAACACAATATAAATTATATACACGCTCGATCAGATCGAAATTGAGTCGAGTTGACTCAAATTCGTCAAAAGTGGATTTACTCAAAAGTGAGTTGAGTTTTTCGGGTTTTTCCAGGAAAAACTTCTCGAATATGAGGAAAATTGATAGAGATTTCACGCAATCTATTAGTATAATCCAAAACTGAGTTAGTTTTTCATGGATTTTCCTCATAATCGGGAAGTTGTTCCACGAGTTTTGTCCGGAAAGTTCAACTCACTGTTGAGTAAATCCCTTTTTAACGAAATTGAGTCGGCTCGACTCAATTTTGAATCGATCTGATCGACCGTGTACAGCAGCAGAAGCACAGAACGAAGCCACCAAAAAGCACAGAAAAGTAATCCGGTAAAAGTTTACAGCTGGATTCCAATTTTGTTCAAGCCCATCGCATCTCGCAGCAATACTTCACTCTGTTATTACAGCTTTTACTCCAAACGAAACGAACCGAAAATGTTCTTCTTGTATTATATTGGATGAAATTGTTGCACTAACAAGCATTTGTTGGAAGTTTTATTTTTTTTTTATGTTGGGTAGTAGTAATGAAGGGAAAACAAGATGGATTTGTGGCATGGATTTGGTTCTGTCTGGGAGTATTACCTATGATAGACGCGAGAACCGTTCTGATTGGATGGCGGTGAACTGGGTACCGTTCCGTTGCAGGAAGTGGTCACCTTTGGCGCCGTGACTGTTAAGGAGGTTGATTCCGTCATCGTCGGTGTGGTTACAGTTGGTTTTACGCTCAGTGGGAAATTATTGTACGAAGAACGGTGCTTGAGCCACTCCAGGTTAGCCGAAGACGATTTTCCGATGGGGTAATTGCGGATGATATTGTAAAAGTTACTGTCGGATTGTCGGAATGGTGCCATCGGATGAGAAAGTCGGAAATCTTCGGTAGGAGAGCTTTTCCGGAAGTTACGCTCGAAGGGCGTCTTAAGTAAGTTCGCTGAGGCAGCGACATCTTCGGCGAGTTTTCGCGAGAATCGCAGCTCGACCGGAGATTGATCGTTTTCATCGGGACTGTTGCTGGAGGAGGAGAACCGCTTCCGGCCTATGTTGGGTGTTAGGAATGGATTATGATCGACACGATCCGTTGCACTTAGGCTGGGAATGGAGTTCATTTTTGTCAGTGGTGACGGAGTGTCGTCTTCTATGCCTATGTAGCGAGTGTAACCGATGCCCGCCTTTTTCCGATAGATGCCACTGTGGAAAGAATTTCTCATTTGGAACGGTTGAAACCGATTGGGCAGGTCTGCTCCATTCCGTTGGAAAGCAGTTTTTCTGTCTTCGATTGGATTCCTCGTTGTTCGTTGTTCAACGTTCTCTTTCGAAACTTGCTTTCTTCGTTGTGCCATAGCATCTTCTTTGTCATCATTTAGGTCTGTCAGAGACTTCATCCTGGCACAACTGAACCGTCGCGTTTCAAAGTCTTTTTTGAGCTTCAATAGATCTACAGGGGTTGTCCCGAACTCGCGTTCGTAAGCCGATAGGTTACCCAAGGATTTCATACGACCCAAGTTCATTTGTTGGCCTGGAGTTCCGATGGTACGGTTCTTATCTCCAGCCCCGCAATCAATGTCCTCTTCTGGGAAGAAAATATTGCTTTTGGTCACCGACAGGTTGTTCATACTCTTAATCTTTATCAGCGTCGAGAGCGGAACATCGGACGTGGGGGTACCAAATTCGTCCATCCCAGAGTCAGTCCTCTCCCCGCTCGATGCACCTTCGTCCGACATGACAGTGACGTCCGGAGTAACGAAAATGTCATCACCCGAGTCCGAATTGGGACTGTGGGGGATTCGCAGCTTGGCCAACAGACGATGGCCATTTACAACCTTCGTGGGTGTCCCTTCGGAGCTGCTACCACCGCTGCCGGGTCCAAACCCGACGGTCATTCCCGGCCCGGTGACACTGGTGGTGAATGTTTTATTGGCATTAACAAAACGATAACCATTAACAAGGGTAGTAGAAGGATAGCTAGCTTGCTTCTGAGCATCTTGGCTCTTTGCTTGCAATGACGGACGTAACCTTGTGGAGTGAGGGAAAGAAGAAAACATAAGACAAAAAGTAGCAAAACAGGTAATACAATTAACCAAGGATTTTAAATAAAAACTTCATAACAAGCGGATGTTCGGTTAATATTATTCCTAACATTTGATCTAGCAGAAGTTTGGAGTCCTGGCATAAAAAGTAACCGTGGAAAAGTGGCGTCGCTTATTTTCAAGGAAAGACAATAGGATGGAATTGCAGTTAAAGAGAAAAAGAAGTTAGGATAGCAGAAAATGAACCCTTTATACATTCCTCCAATAAGTCACATTCTTCATGGTAGATACACAATCCAATATCAAAATTTATTACATTCAATTGGCGTTGCATGCTTTTTAGATTAATAGGCATTCTAATATTCATTTGGCTGATAGTGTCTGTGTATGCGCACCAGCTTTGAAAACTTTGTTTTTAAGCAGAAGGATAACAACATGCGGCAAGCATCCTTGGTGTTGAGATCAACAGATTGCCCCATCCCCTTGCGGAGGAGCAATCCCAAAAAGCTAGACACCAAAAGAACAGATGGTTCTACAATAGCTGATAAAGTGCGAGGAGTGAAATGACTGGCATCTATATTAATAAAAACGCATAATACCCACCCAATCCCTTGTCAATTTCGGGTATCGTTCCACCCAGACGACTCACATTTGCCTTGTTTGCATGCATCATCATCAGCCAAATAGATTTCGCATTATGTTGAAAACAGATTCCCATGAATCTCTTCCAAAAGATTTTTTTTTTTTTTTTAATAATTCGTTTATTTTTCCAGGCTCATTTGCTGTAGCTTTGCGGAGCCGATATTCATTGTTTAGATAACAAAATTACTTAAAACTAACGTTAGTAAAGCGGGGGCCGATTACTCGCGGCTATCTCGAGGTTAGGGGTAACAAATTGTAACAAATGGATGGCAGGGTAGGGATTGTGAACACAAGGTTTGGAGAGCAATGTGCTCTTGATCTCGAACTAGGCGACACTCTGATGAAAAAGACAAACATGGGGGTACACCGATGGGTAGCTAACAACTTGGGAGAACACAAGATGACACTAACTTCTAAATCCTCAAATCTATCCGTTTTAAAAACACATAAATTAAATTCAAATAGTCAAGGTCTCGGCTCGCCAAGACATCTCTAACGGGTATCGCGGGTTGTTTCCCTCGGGCCCTGAGGGATGTGGATAACTCAGATCTGGCAACACGGTGTAAGGTACACGACCAAACAACATGCTCGATATCGTGATAACCACTGCCACACGCACATAAATTGCTGCCTGAGAGCCCAATTCGATAGAAGTGCGAGTCTAACGAGCAGTGATTGGACATAAGCCTTGAAATAACGCGTATAAAGTCGCGGCTCATGTCCAACCCTTTGAACCATGGTTTGTTCGACACCTGTGGGAGAATAGAATGTAACCATCTTCCCAATTCACCATCATTCCATTTTTGTTGCCAACTGATGAGGACTTGCTGGCGAGCAATGGAGAAAAATTCGTTGAAGGCGATTTGTCGCTCAAAAATATCGCCTTCCATAGCGCCCACCTTAGCCAATGAGTCCGCTTTCTCATTACCCGGAATTGAGCAATGAGATGGGACCCAAGCTAAGGTGATAGTATAGGAGCAGTTAGATAAAGCACTCAGTTTAGATCGTATTTCAGGCAGGAAATACGATGAGTGCTTCATCGGCCTCATTGAACGAATAGCCTCCAATGAGCTAAGACTATCCGTAAAAATGAAATAATGGTCAGAAGGTAGTGAGGCAATTCGCTCTACTGCGTAAAATATAGCTGCGAGTTCCGCAACGTATACGGAGCATGGTTTCTGCAGTTTATAGGAGGCGCTATGAAATTGATTAAATACACCAAATCCAGTGGAAGCATTTATGGTTGACCCATCTGTGAAAAATCTTTTATCGTTACTTACATGGTGGTACTTGATTGCAAAAATTGAGGGAACAATCTTCCAAAAGATGACACAATCGTTCAAATATGATGGCAAAAAAGAACCACCCAGCCAGCAGCAATAGAAGGGAAGAAGGCAAGAGCAAACCACCTAAATTATCTTCCCGAGCAGACAGGATATTAAACATGAATGTTCTTTGCGCCTTGCGACAATTTTTTTTCTCACGCGTTCGTCCCGTAATATAGCGTTATCGTTTGCGACGAACGAGCTGAAAACATTATTCGACTAACGTGCTAATGCTCAGGGGTGTGGCATATATTATGTCATGCTCTAAGGGGGGAGGGATTTTGTGACAAGCCTTGCATTAGGTATAGGAAAACCGTGACGAAAGGGGAGAGGGAAGGGGTTAAATATTTCCTCAATTTAGCATGACATAATTAATGCATGGCCCCTTATGGTGTGTTCGTCTGGTGTTGGTCTTGAAGATCTGAACAAGGCGAAAACTTAGGAAGTACGAGTGAGAACTCGGTCGGTCGTTATGAATACATATCAGCGAGTGAGGCAATATTGTGAAGATGCCATAAATTTGCTCATCAACATATCTTCATTTAGACTTTTGGCCAGTGTTGGAAAGGAAGTAGAAAATTGGGTGAAATATACAGAAGGATTGTGATTTGCTACTTTTCTAGGAGTTTGGAGGCGAACCAGCCCAAAGCTGAAAGCCTCCTTAATAAAGCTAAATAATAATAATAATACTTTTCTAGGTGTCGAGTATCAATCCAAAAATGGCAAAGATTTATAGGGATGTCCGATTTTCTGATTAATCGATTGAAGAGTTGAGGCACTTTATAAATGTCCATGTCAGACTTGAGGTGAAAGAGAAATTGACGACAGTACATAATTGATAGAGTACAGAAGTGTGTAATTTGAAATTGAAAATGAGTAAAGGACGAACGAATCGAACGAACATTTTTACTGTCGAGCTACCGTTTGATCATACGATCATGTGCTACAAATTACAACCTCTTTTTTGAAAATCTTTTCTAATGTCCTACAAAATCCAGTAGTAGTAACCGTGGTGACGCTACTACCGGGACTGACAAAATAAATTGCGTTCAAATTGCTCATACACCGGCAATATGCAGAGACATTTCTAAAGATGTTTCCCATTGACAAAGTATCCCCAGTCGATGGTGTTGAAATTGCAACTCTGTTTTACCTTCTCTTGTAATAAAGCATTTCTTTAACTTTGTATGTAATCATAAACTTCACGTATGAAGTAATACAAGTTTAATCAATTGTATTTTTTCATTAATCGATTAATTTCAATTTTGAAAAACGGTGTAGGGAAACATCATATGAAGAATTATTAAAACACACATACAAATATGGAGCAATCAAATTTCATGAACAGTAATTTAAAATATATATTAATCGAACAATGACTTAACGAGACCAATCGATAAACAACAAAAACAAACATGTTTATTATGCACAGAACTACAAGGCAGCTACTAATGACACGATTGTATCAAAAGTACCCGTGATTTCAAATACTTGCCATTTCGTTTGATTCACCCTCCGAGTATCTAGACAGAAAACCTTAGTTTCACGTACCCACTTACAAATTGTAGATGTCTCCACGGTACGTAAACAATGGGTTCAGCCATCGTTGGTGGCACAAATTTTTTCACATCAGAAAACATGTTGATGTTTCACTTCATGTGGACGTCGAAAGCAGGCCAAGAATAAATTTTCCTCATTAATTGATTTGATGAAATCAAAATTCGGTATTTGGTCTGGTCTGGTTAATTCCTCGGGGGCATCTGGGACATGCCCGGAACTGACCAATGTGATCCGCGGCGCTCAAAATGGCCACAATTGAATTGGTTATCATATTTTGAAGTAATTTGTTTTGTCACATGTTAGGTTTTATTCCTTACCGGTCAAATTTAGTATCATGGCTCACATTCCCCGAAACATGTTCCTGCCACATTTCCAGCACCAGTTGACCGATTCTGAATTTGGTCAATAATGCTTTATGAACGAGGTTGTTGAATCATGATACTTTTCATTTGGTGGTTGTTGCTTGCAATGCGCATTAGTTATTACCGATAAATACGACTTAGCTACAAAAATGCATGTTTATCGGAAATAGTTGACCGATTCTAAATTTGATCAACAGCATTCAATGTTACCATTATACTTTTTGTTAGCTGGTTGTTTCGTTTAGATCGCGAATTTCGGGTCTTGTTCCGTCCATATCTCCGAGACCAGTTGTTTGACTGAAAATCTATTAATTAACACCCACATTAACAATAACCATAAGAAGCGCCTAACCACCATACTAACTTTATGTGGTATGGTCGTACCATCTATGATATCGTTAGTGTATGGTACATTCGACTGATGCAAAATTTGAAATTTTCGATCCATAGTGCTTAAACGGTTCCAAATTGGGTCCTACTTAGCCTCCAAAAATTTGAACTACTTTATTAAGAAACTGACTTAGCTCACACCATTCCAAGTTTATATGGGAAAACTTATGTTTTTGTTCATATCTATAGAACAATTCACCACATCACTATGCTTTTAAAAATTATAGCAGTCATTGTAGCAAATTTTCTCAGCTACAACTTTGTTGAAAACTACTTTTCAATCAAATGTAAGGAACAAAAGATATTAATGATTCAAGTCACAGATGTCTTATGATTATGCTCATTCAACTGTTCGGCAGGCAACATTGGTATTTCTGGTGCGAAGAATAGATCACAAATATCATGGCTACTATGTCACACTGTAGAATACAGTGTTGCCCATACAACAGCTGCTTGATCATGCCATAAGATTATCAATATCTTAAACAATGAATAACAACTTAATTTGACATTTGGCTGAAAAACGATATTCCGCAAAGTTATAGCTTAGAAAATTTCCCGTAATAATAGTTATAGAAATTTTCGAAAAAGCAATATGGAAAATGGGTATAAGGCAATGAATAAAAAGTTTGGTTTTCCCATAGTAATTTCCAATTGAATAGTTTGTGCCAAGTCAGTTTCTTACCAAATGAGTTTAAATTTTGGGA